GGGTTTCTTAACTGATTATGATTCCCTTAGATGGTACATAGCATATATACTATATTTATTTTGGTGGCTCCCCAGAAAGCAATATGTAAAAAGCACATCTTTCTATATATGATATAGATGTATGTTTTGTAATTATAGCATTTAAATGCATCTCTGCTCATATATCAATATTTAAATATATGGGTATATATACATCCATACACACATTTGCAAACTTATTCAGTTGGGACAGATTGCCTTTTTAACAAGGAGAATGTTATGGCATACATGTTCCACCTAACATATTTTGGAAAAGGTGTTTAGTTTTGGCAATAACTAAGAGGTGTTTTTCGATAAGTAAAAAAAATGAAAGGTATAAATATAATGAAAATTATTTATACCAATTTTTATTTAGAATGATGTCTGTACTTACTTTATAAGAATGGTACTTACATGTCATGTAGTGCAAGTTTTCTGGGTGTCACTTGCCATCCTCACACGCATCTTGGTGGTCTGTGTCACATCAGGAGCAGGCTGTCCTCTGTGTCACATCGGGAGGGGGCTGTCCTCTGTGTCACATCGGGAGCAGGCTGTCCTCTGTGTCACATCGGGAGTGGGCTGTCCTCTGTGTCACATCGGGAGGGGGCTGTCCTCTGTGTCACATCGGCAGCGGGCTGTCCTCTGTGTCACATCGGGAGCGGGCTGTCCTCTGCGCGTTGGCAGCCGGTTTGTAATAACTGCATTTGGCATTTACTTTCTCCAGGTCTCCAGCCCGTCTTGGGAGAGTGGACTGGGCCCATCAGCCCTGTTCTCCTGGGGACAACTGAGCCCCCTGGCAATGCTCCAGTGCTCCTCTGAGTAATAAGATCCAAGCCTAACTCGACAAGTAGGCTTTTTAGCCCTTACGAGAATCTCTTATTCACTTGAAAACTCCTAGAATAGTTCTTGTGCTGTCTTTATAGTCTAATATCTCTGTTGTCTCCTTATATTCTAGGAAGGTGACCTACAGCTTCTTTTCAGCCACAGTGACCCAGGAGATGGGAGAGGCAGGGTGATTGTGCTATTCTTGGCCTTGGCATTGAATTTACATCATTCTGGTGTATCCATCACACACCCCCAACCCCCAGCTCCAGGGTAAACCTTCTGCCATTGTATCTGCAGAATCATTTGGTTATGTTTGTCAGTTGTCTCAGAAAACCCTTTTTAACACAATGAAAAATATTCTTTACAACAGGGGTCCTCAAACTTTTTAAACAGGGGGCCAGTTCACTGTCCCTCAGATTGTTGGAGGGCTGGACTGTGGGCCCTGGGATGAGTCGGCTGCTAAGCAGGACAGGCAGTGGTGGCAAAAACACCTAGCGGGCCGGATAAATGTCCTCGGTGGGCCACATGTGGCCCACAGGCCATAGTTTGAGGGCGCCTGCTTTACAAGGATGATACTTTTGTTGGCTCGGTACCAGCCACGTACACTGAGGCTAGCGGGTTTAAAAGCGGCCCGAGCCAGCTAAACAACAATGACAACTGCAACAAAAAATAGCCGGGAGTTGTGGCGGGTGCCTGTAGTCCCAGCTACTTGGGAGGCTAAGGCAAGAGAATTGCTTAAGCCCAAGAGTTTGAGGTTGCTGAGAGCTATGATGACAGCATCGCATCCTACCCAGCAACAGAGACTCTGTCTTTAACAAAAAAAAGAAAAGAAGAAGGAATAATACTTACATGTCATCCTGTAGCTCATGTATGAGTCCACATTTGACCTACCAAATTTTTACAGACCTGAAAGAAAATACTGCTTTTTTGAATTGTAGGAAATCACTCCATTTGACTCCTGATGCTGGCCTCACCTCTTTGTTATATTCATTCGCCTACAGTTAGGGTAGCCATCCCAGCCGCCTTGGTTTAGGAACTGTTCTGGTCACAGTGTTGGTGCCTATGCTGCCATCATGTGGTTATTCCAGCTGCTTGTAGGAAGTTTCCTTTTTTTTGAGACAGTCTTACTCTGTGGCCTCAGGCTAGAGTGCTGTGGCCTCAGCCTAGCTCCCAGCAAGTTCAGACTCCTGAGCTCAAGTGATCCTCTTCCACCTGCCCCCAGCCCCTGGCAACCCCTCCTCTACTTTCTTTCTTTCTTCCTTTCTTTTTTTTTGAGACAGAGCCTCAAGCTTTCCCCCTGGGTAGACTGCTGTGGCATCACAGCTCACAGCAACCTCCAACTCCTGGGCTCAAGCGAGTCTCCTGCCTCTGCCTCCCAACCACAGGCACCCACCACAACGCCTGGCTATTTTTTTTTCCTTTGGTTGCAGCCATCATTATTGTTTGGTGGGCCCGGGCTAGATTCGAACCCACCACCTTAGGTGTATGTGGCTGGCGCCTTAGCCACTTGAGCCACAGGAGCCAAGCCCACTCTACTTTCTGTATCTGTGAATCTGACTAGGGACTAGGGACCCCATATCAGTGCAACCATGCAGTGTTTTTCCTTGTTTTCAGGTTTATTTCACTTAACCTAATGTCCTCAGGGTTCGTCCAGGTTTGTCATGTCTCAGAATTTTCTCCCTTTTTAAAGCTGAATATCATCCCATTCGATGGAGGAGTTCTGTGTTTCATCAGAGGAGTGCATGTTAAGGAGGAGCCAGGAGACAAGCCACCCTGTGAATTTAGTGCTCAGAGAGCTGTTAAGGAGCCCTCGTCTGATATTTAACTTGGACAATACAACCTTGAAAACAGGTTTGGAAATCTTTAGCTTAGAATCTTCTATTTCATAAAAGTCCCAGTTCTCCAAATCACAAAAGTTAGTAATCTCAGTTGAGAAATCTGATACTCATAACATGGGTTTAAACATCCCTTTCAGCTTGCCTCCGGAGTCCGTGCAGCCTCTTAAGCCTGCCTGAGGCTTTGGGCCCCCAGCCCTTCGCACAGAGCAGATACTAAGTGACTATTTAGTGGTCTGTTCTGCTAATTTACTCTCTTCACCTGGGAATTTTGATCACCGCCTCACACGGAGGGCTGGTAATAAAGAAAGTTGAAGCGTCCGTCTTTGAATTAGCGCTCGACGTCCTTGTTCTCTGTCTTCCTTACATAGTCATCCTCATCCCTACCTGACTCCAGGTTTTGTAGTTTAGAACTAAGATGCAGAGAGCAGGAGGAGGCATTAGTTATAGTAGACAGTCGGGAGATGAGATGGTCACCTTCAGAGAACCGAGAATTGGTCATACTTGGTCAAGTTTCTCATCAGGCATTTTTTGGTAAACGTCAATGGTGTTCTCTGTATGTCATCCTTGGTCAGCAGCCATGGTGCTTACACACAGGATGAGAATCTCTGCATACTTCTTCCAAGTCTGCAGGTAGCATTCCCAGACTAGAATGTACACAACAGCCCCTTATTCTTGGAGACCTGGAGTGTTAGCAAAAGTAATTTTTATTTCCCTTTGGATAAGGGACGAGTAGATGACATTTGAATCTTCCAGGCCATAACAAATAAATTGCTGTTGAGCTGATTTCTCAACAACAAGCCTGGGTGTGATTGAGAATTCTTCTGACACAGCTGATGGGTCCTTTTCATCTGTTTTGCTAAGTGGGTAGCCTCTATTATTTCTGCTTTCAGAAAGGGAACTGGCATTCTCAGACAACAGGACTTTGACCTGCTGACATCTCCTTATTGTTGGGTGGCACAATTAGGTCGGTCTTTAGGTCAGAAATGACTGGTTTGGAGGAAGAAAAAGACAGATGGTGAAAAGAGAAATGAAAGGTTTAAATAGCCTGCTTTTTCTGATATGTCCAGAGGAATTCTTGCTGGGGGTAGAGGGAAGAATTGTTGTGCCTTTGAGAGCTCTTTCAAGCTACTGCACAGTGAAAGCCTTTTGCAAGGTGATTTGCGTGCACAGGGCCGGCAGTGTGTAGGCCCTGCTGCCCCACTTCCCAGTGTCTTCAGTGGGCGTCAGCACGGCTGTGGGGAGGAATCAGTGAGTAGAACAAATTGGGCTCCAGGATCAAAAAGATCTGGGTTTAAATCATGGTTCAACCACTTGTCATGTTAGTAAGTTGGGGCTTAAAACTTAACATCTCAGGGCAGAACTTTCTTATCTGTAAAATGATGCCAGTGGGTGACAAAGAGGAGTTTCATGAAAATCCAGCAGATAATTGATCGGCTTAATAAGCACCAACTAAATGCCAGATACTATGCTGGTGGTGTGGGAGTACTAGGGGAGTGATGGGTGCACTCCACCTGCACGATGGGTTGGAAGGGGGAGCATCCTCACTTGTGCAGTGAGGAGGGCCTGGGCTGTAGGGGTGTCATCTGTAAGGACAGAGCACAGAGATACATCCGGAGCTACTGCAAATAAGGGGAGCACAGAGCTCAAAACCAGCCCTGTTGGACAGCGACAGGGAGGAGGTGGGACCAGGGACACCCCAGGACAAGTTCCTAAAGTGTATCTTGCTTTTCCTGGATATTATGAGAACAAAGAGGTGATGGAAATTTGGGTGGTAGTAGATTAAACAAAGATAAACTGGCGCCTTTGTTGCAAGAATTTCAGATGTGATGTGTTAGTGGGTCATGAGTCACCAAGAGGAGACAGAACATGCAGAATTTCCCCTACGAAAGCCTATGTTTTTATGTATTTAGTTATTAAATGGGATCAGCTTTGTGCTCTGAGGGACAGTCTGAGAAATGCTACTGTGAAGCGTCAATGTCAGAAAAATGGAAAACAGCCAGGCAGCTCCTCTTTGGCCAGAAACTCCAGAGTTGTTCATGTTCGTCTGAGCAACCAGAAGTGGAGGCAGCCACTGAAGCCTGGGAGATGATGAAGATACAGGGATGTGCTTAGGAAAGATTGGGGAATTATGAGGACAGATCCACGAAAACAGAGAGATACGAGTATGTCACTTCATATGTGCTCATTTTTTCTTCAACTCGTAACTTCAAGCTTCTATGTCATAATTAACATTCAGTTTGGGTTACGAATTAGAAATGTAGTTTCTCCCTGCGGTAATGGTTTCAGGGTATCTCAGATTAAACTTATCTTTCCTTGCAGGTCATGTACAGAAGGATTCTGCAGCAGGCGGGGTTTATACAGTTTGCACAACTTCAGTTCCTGGAAGCTAAAGAGCTCTTCAGGTAATTTGAGGTGTTGGCAGCGAGACTTCCACTACAGTGTGCCTCTGTGGTGAGAACCTCTGTTTCCAGTGTGACGTGGTGATGGGAGGTGTTGCTGTGGGTGGTCAGGTTGTCTTCAGGTGGAAATGGTGGGGGGTGTGGATGACCACAGACACCAACAGTGCTGGTTCCTCAGCTTCACCCCTCATTCAGCCTTAGGCTAACTGTCCTGCGTCTTAAAGGAGGTGGGGGGGGGGTGAGGAGGGGTGCAGAGAAGAGTCCTGAGAAGAGGATTCTGTTAAGGCATCAAGACCGTTTGGCTAGTTTTGTCCAAATGGTAGGGTAAATTAAAAAAAAAAAAAAAAACGGAAAAAGAGAAAAGATTATTAAGCCAAGAGAAGAGAATTCTGAAGGGTAAACTTGATAAACATTGGCAGATTCCTAGGAAAGCACCAGAGTGCAGGCTTGCTTTTCTCCAGAGATTTCACAAGAAGTTTTGAGTTTACAGAAAGAGCTGGGGGATGGCACCTATGGCTCAGTGAGTCGGGTGCTGGCCCCATATATTGAGGGTGGCAGGTTCAAACCCGGCTCCGGCCAAACTGCAAAAAAAGAGAGAAAAAAAAAAAAGAGCTGGGGCTTCTGAGAAGATGTATGAAAAATTTTTGTCATCTTCTAAAGCCTTTTTAAACATTATATTCTTGTGGCTCTCTTAGTTGTGTTCCTCTTGTGGCGGTCCCTCGTGGCATTAAGATTAATCCCATACCTGTTGGACACCATCTCTGGGCTCTCGAGTGCATTTTTTGCCTTCCCCATCGACCACAGTGTCCTGCAGGCACCTTTGCTGCCCACTTCCCCCAGGTGTGTGGAGGCGGTGGTTAATTGCCCAGCACTACTTGGAAGATTAAGTTGGGCCTGTTCTGATAGTCTCTGGATACCCTCCTAACCCACGGCCTTTAGAGTAAGTTTTCAAAATGTCTCACTGGAGCAGATTTTGCACAGTTGAGATGTACAGGAAGCCCCCAAATAGATCATTTTCAACTTGAGCAAAACACCTCCTGTGGCTTGCTGGCCCCTGCCAGTGCTGTGGGATGTTTGCACAAGGGTCAGGCATGTCCTTTCACCCACTGCAGCTCTCATCTCTCACTCCATTTCAAAGTCCAGTGTAGACAGTGCATTTCTGAGCAAAGAAGCAATTATTCAATAAATTAATATTGTTCATGTTATTTTTAGTGATGTAAATCCGATGTGTTGGTCTCGTCTGTTCCTGGGAGGATCGGTAGCTTTGGGTGTAAACCAACCGCTTGCCCCTTTGCAGCGAGGCGCTGTTCTGCTGCATCTTGTCTTATCCCTGCAGCGTTGAGGCCTCCTCACTGGTCACAGGCTCTTCCCAGAGCATCTTTTTCTCATGAGCTGCTCTGAAACATCAGATGAATGGCCACAGACATGTTCTCAGATTTTGTAAGAGACTAAATGTAGGCCTGTCTATTATTAGGAGAAGATTCCTGCACTTAACTGTCTTATTAGCCTCTTAATAGCTTAACTTTATTTTTTTTTTAAGTCTGGATTTTTTTAAACAAATTTTGTTTTGGAAATCAAGTAGATGAGAGGAGAGAATAGCTTGATTTTGAATTGGTTGCTGCTCAGCTTCTGACCAGAGCGTGGCCAAGGGAACTGCTGTTTGAAGAGGATCTTCCTCCAGTGACGATGAGTCCCCTTTCCCTTCCTGTACCCTAGGCCACCATTGCTAATAAAGCACAATTTTTTTTTCTTTATTGAACTGAGACTTGTCTTTCAGATTCCTTCTCAGTGCTGTGCTAGTGGCCACAACTGCCAGCTAGTTGTGGCTGGTGTCTAAGTGGAAGCTGGCTTACCATTCACATTGTCGGGGCCCATGCTGTGTCTCTTCCTCTAGATGTTCTGCAGCTGGTCCTTGTGTCTGGTAGGCTCAGCTCTTCCTCCATTCAGCAAATGTGGCCTGAGCACCAGAGCAAGGGAGGAATGGGGAGACCATGTGCATGCCCCTTTGGGAAGTGGGTGTGGACCCCTGTACAGTGCGGGTGCTGCTCTACTGTGAAAGCAGCGTAAGGCCTGCGTCAGCCAGTGAGGGAGTCCCAGAGCTTACACAGTGAGCAGAAGCTTCTCAGATCAGGAATCATGCTGATTCAGCCCAGATTGCCACTTTGGACATTTTGAACAAGATAATTCTCCATTGGGAACTGTCTTGTGCATTTGGGGAGTTTCAAAGCAGCAACTGTGGCCCCTACCTATTAGATGTGAGTAGCGCCCCCCAGTCCTGACAAAAATGTCTCCTCTGGACATTGCCACACATCCCCCAGGGAGCAAAATTGCTTCCCACTGAGAACTACTGCTTTAGGCAAAGGAAATGCCACAGCAGAAGCTTTAGAGGCATGAACTTTCAAAACAGACCAAACAATTAGGGACAGTGTGTAGGACAGATACTCAAGGCTGGAGTTTTAAGGTAGGTTGGTGTCGATGTAATAAGGTCCTTGCATGCCATTGTAAGAGCTTTGAGATTTCTCCCATGAGCTGTACAAACCATGGAAGGTCAGGAGAGGCTGGGGGTGTACAAAGTGGAAAGCAAGGGAGGATGGCTGATCAGCGCCTGGGTGAAGGTGGATGCAGTGGTCACTGCAGGCAGCGTGGATCCGGGTCCTCCTCACCACAGCTGGGTCTGACACTGGGCTGGGGTTGAGACTCACAGTTCCTGTTATGATTATAGCCGGAGCAGGCTGGAGGAGAAAAGATGACAGAGGGACCTACAATGAGTTAGAGGTGAGACATGACTAAATGGGCCTTCCTGGGCCTTATAAGGTTAGGGCACTATGCTAGCCATTTGCATTACATCCTGATGTCATGCTCTGGAATGACACCTACAGAGATAGCCATACAAATACTTCTGTCTCTTCTGTTGTAAGACATTAGTGGAGGAAATTGTGTCCCTATAACGTCCCTTTAAGGATTATTCCATGGATCTGTTTATAATTTAATGCCAGTCAAGTGTTGGCTTCAGAAGACCCATGGCACTGCTGGCTTCTCTCAGACACTGAGGAGGTCTTACTGCTGTTTCTGCCGTGATTGCTGGGAAGCCCGGAGTTCCCTTGGGTTTTCACAGCATCCTAGTCTTTTGATGTTCCCCTTCCATACTAGTTGTTGGTTGTGTGCGTGTCTTCACCCTGTCCCCTCTGTTCTCTTCCATAACAAGGTGGCGGCACCCAGTTCGATGGCGCTTTGCTGCACTTGCAGATCAGGCCAGTCGCTCTGCTGTGCCCAGCCTGTCCCCAGCTCCCCCGCTCCCGTGAACACGTGCCGACCCGCACTCCCCTCCAGTGCTGTTTTGTGTGCCTATGTGTACTCTTTCTCTCTTTTTGCTTCATTTAGTTTGACACTGTAATTGCAGAAGCGGCCAGCTTGACGTCCGGGAGCTGATATCTCTCTACCCCTTCCTGTTGCCTACCTCCTCCTCCTTCACCCGGTCCCACCCTCCTCTCCACGAGTATGCAGACCTGAACCAGCTGACCCAAGGGGACCAGGAGAAGATGGCCAAATGCAAGCGATTCCTCATGAGCTATCTGAACGAAGTCCGCAGCACGGAAGGAGCAAATGGCTACAAGGAAGACATCGACACAGCCTTGCTCAAGCTGTATGCAGAGGCCAACCATGACAGCCTGCTGGACCTCCTGGTCACCGAGAACTTCTGCCTTCTAACGGATAGTGCCGTCTGGCTGGAGAAGCACAAAAAGTGAGTGTTCTCTCTTTTCCAGCCTTTCTGTACCAGGTGCTGAGGCCTTTTAGCTGTCGTGGTATTTGGGCTTCCGAGGATCCATCCAGTGACTGCCATGAAATCACAGCGACAGCCGGTGCCCAGTACTCCTTAGACATCACTCCCATCATGGTTTGCCGGCCACCTGAAGGGCTCTTGGAGGGCATTTACTCTCTGATTCATTCTTTAACTCTATGGAATATGGTTTGGAATTAGTCATGGGCTTCTGTTAGTAAATGAAGCAATTTTTAAATTTCCTCTCCAGTCAACCTAGGATTGCCCTGTAGGAAAGGCCACCTGTGTGTTGGTAAGATTAATAATGCACCTTATTCATTGATAACAAAGTTGAATAGACAGATATCTAAATAAATAGGCATAAAGGTAGGCTTCTCGATTCTGTGATACAAGGTATGGTTTAAAACTCTGCCATCTTGATGTGCATGAGTTAGTAGGTGACCTTATGTACAGTGGGTGGTTAAGACATAGTGACTGGCTTGGTTGGGCCCAGCAGCTTCTTCATCCTGGGCCAGTGGTCACATAGCCTAACCATTCTGGGCCTCAGATTTCCTATCTTTAAATATGAGGGGCATTGGATGATCCCGTAACTCCATGGAAGCAGTAAGAGTTTTGAGTGTGACTCTTGTTAAGTATTTGAAATGGTGAAAGTATGGATGAGATCTCACGGGGACCAAGGGTTGCTATGCTAGATCCCATTCAGGTGCCTGAGAGGACACAGGCTTCCCCCTGGATATTGGCTCTGTCAGCAGCTTCCATACCTTCCTCCAATATGCTGTGGAGCCATGGTTTTTTGTTTAGGAGCCTGACCTCGTGGTAGTGGCTCAGGATGGTAGGATCTGTACAGTCAGTATAACTTCCCAGGAGTTTAAGGAGATGGTGGAGATTCAATTGGATACGTCAGTATCTTGAAGAGTTTGCTCTTAGAGGGAAGAACTCTGGCCTCTCATTGGGTCAGCTCACTGCAGTGACCTGCTGCAGGGAGCAGAGGGGAGAAGCAGGAACCTGGCATACACATGGGACTATGGGAGGGTGCTGAGGGCTCACTGCCCTGGGCAATGCCAAATTTATTGCTAATCCTTTCTGTTTATAAATGAGGAAACGGAGGGCCAGGGAAGTTAATCTACCTACTCAGTCATCCAGTTTATAGTAATGAGACTTGGATTGAAACTCAGGTCCTGGAACTCTTGGCACCCTCCCTAGGATGCTCCCTGCGTCCCTGTAGTCTGCCATGCCTGGATACTGTTCATGTTCAGGCTCTTCACCTCTTCTTTCCCTAACCGCTCAGGTGGCATAACATTTGGTACTGCGTGATGAGTTTTAATAATGGCTAACTGAAGAGATGTGAATTCAGATTAATATTTGAAGCAAATTGTAAAGCAATCCCAAATATGATTTTACCATAGTATAGTTGCTGTTTTCTTTTCAGCTCATCTTAGATTGGAATCAGATTCTCTTCGGAGACTAACAACATACATTTTTTGTTTTGTTTTGAGACAGACTTTCACTTTGTCATCCTCAGTAGATACACCTCAAACTCTCGGGCTCAAGCAGTTCTCTTGCCTCGGCCTCCCAAGTAGCTGGGACTACAGATGCCCACTACAACACCCAGCTATTTTTAGAGATGAGGTCTCTCTCTGGCTCAAGCTGGTCTTGAACTCAGAAGCTCAAGTAATCCACCTGCCTGGGCCTCCTAGAGTCCTAGCGTTATAGACGTGAGCCCCCGCACCTTTAAATACCATAAGTAAACAAGCAGAAATGAGACTCCTCCAGCTATTTGAAATTAGTTGCTGAATCTGAGTTGAATAGAATACAGAGGTGATTGGGACCGGGGTGCCGCCATTTGGGGTCTACTGCACAGCAGGTGGGAGGGGTCCTACTCACCATGTTGTTCTCTTGCAGGTATTTCGCACTTGGACTGCTCTATCATTATAATAACCAAGATGCTGCCGCAGTTCAGGTGAGTTCAAAAGCATTTTTGTATGATTTTAAAATCGTTATCATTGAATTTAGTGTTACTTTAAAAAAAAATTTGTAAGTTGATAGAGACCACTTTTGCCTGATCAACACCCTTTTTTAGAAAGTGAATTCCTTGAGAAATGTTGGCAAAGAATTTTATTATTTTTAAAATCTTTACAGCTCCTTAAAGAACATTATTGAGACTGAGTTTTTGGAAATATAAGAAATGAAAAAATATTTTTTTTTCTTATGGAGATACAAGGTATATGATGTCGCTATTAGAAAATTAAGGCAGTGAACAACAGCCAGATACATCATCTCCACCGTTAATGATGATGACTCTTGCCAGTGAGCTGGGTCACCTGTGTCAAAACCAAAGCTGATGAAGGCCAGTCTCTTGCCCAAGGCCATGCCACTGGTCAGTGGTAGAGCTGGGATTTGACTCCGTGCGGCCTCGGCAGGGCTACTGTGCCATGTAAACTGAACACAGCATTGATTTGTTAGCATTGTCTCTCATCTCTCACCTTATATCTTACTACTAATCTTGGTTTTTTGTTTGGTTTTTTTTGTTGTTTTTTGGAGATAAAGTCTCACTTTGATGCCCCCGATAGAGTGCTGTGTTGTCATAGCTCACAGGAACCTCAGACTCCTGGGTTCAGGCTATTCTCTTGCCTCAGCCTCCTGAGTAGCTGGGACTACAGGTGCCCACCACAATGCCTGGCTGTTTTTAGTGGCAGGGTCTCGCTGTAGCTCAGGCTGGTCTCACACTTCTGAGCTCAGGCGATCTGCCCACCTCAGCTTCCCTGAGTGCTGGGATTACAGGCATGAGCTGCAGCACCCAGCCTTTACTACCAATCTGGACAAAAACCTCATCTCATATTGTCAGGAGACTTTCGCACCTTCTGTTATTGGTTATCTGCTTGTACTGCAATATGTAGGAATTTCCTGATATGCCTTTATTTTGTGAGGTACCAAGAGCATCCTCCATTTTCACCCAGCTAAAGTCAACTTGGTGACTTTGGCAGAGCTTAACATGTATTTAGTGGCTTTGAGAAAGTATTATGGTAACATGATTGCAGAGCAGAGTAAAAAATAAGTGGGTTCCCATCAGTGTATACCCAGTGGCCAAGAGTAGATTTGGGTGTCAAAGATACAATTGTTATTTTTTAAAACATGGTGTTATCAGAACTACAGCTTGATATTTAGCACATATGTATAGATATATGGAAAGAGATTTATAAACTTAATAGAGAATAAATTTCCCTACATAGATTTGTAAAAAATGGCACATTTTAATGTATATATGATTATTATTTGGTTTGGAGGACAGCATTTAAGAAACTAGTCTCATAAAAAATGTTCTTATGTGACTTAAGAATTACAGAGCACACAGCTTGCTCTGTACCTGGCTGGTGCTGTGGCCCCGAGGCGTGGGAGGAGGACAGGTGGGGGTCATGCTGTATGGCCAGTGCAGGATGAGCCCTCGTGCAGCCTCTGTCCCCACCACTCCTGTGCAGTGCTCGCTCCTTCTGGGGTCCTGAAAATGAGCTTTAGTTACTACAATGGGGACATTTCTGGATGAAATAGCACAAGGCTTTTTATCACTGTAATCTATCCTGACCCCCTGTGCAAAAAACAATAGGAACCCAGAGGACAGAACCACCAAAGCTTTTTTAAAAACTTATTAAGTGCAAAAGACACTTCAAAATTCAGGATTCCTGTGGTGGAGAAGATGGAAACAGGGGCTAGCAGATGCTTACAGGTGAATCTCTTCTGTGTCAGACATTATCAGCAATTATTACATGAAGAAACATTTTTAATACCCTTACCTCTATCTGCACATTGGATTAAGTATTTGCGATTGTATTGTTAAGGGAAAAAAGGAAAGAAAAAAACTTGGTTTGTTTTTTTTTTTTATTTCTTGGACCTTGTATTTTTATATTTCATTATTTCTCAAAAAAAAAAGTTAAAATTGATTTAAGTGTTCACAGTTTTTCCAACTACTTCTCAAAGTATTAAAAAAGCTAAGTAAACATAGGCTCTTTCCGAGCTAATTCTAAAAGATATGTCCTTTTCCATTTCTATTATTTTAAAATTTTATTGAATTTTTTTCTCTTTTTGCTTTTATTTCTGTCCAGTTGTGGGTGAACATTGTGAATGGGGACATCCAGGACTCCACGCGCTCAGATGTGTATGAATACATCGTTGATTTCCTCACCTGCTGCGTAGACCAGGAGCTTGTGTGGGCCCACGCTGACTGGGTCCTGCAGAGGAGCGAAGAGGTTTGTGCTTCTTAAATGCATTCTTTTTGGGGGTGGGTGGTAAAAACAAAATACCTTGATTTTAGGTGGGGAAAGAAAGCTACATTTCAACCTCCCCCTCTGTTTTCTTAGTTCTTTTTTTAAAATCCCTTCCTTTGAACCATCTGAATTCTAGCTCTGAGGGCAGTTCGGCATTTTGGTGTTTCAGAGACATCCTCTTTCTGGAGTAAGGTCACTTTTATAGAAAAGCAAGAAGCATCGCCAGCTCACATTCAGCATCTTGAAAATACCTGCTTTCTAATCCCCCACAACCCTTCCCACCAAGTGAATGACGTGTGACGCTGTTGTTATCTGGTGCAGAATCAGGTGGTTGCCCTGCAGGATGTGGTCCTTGAGAGGTGAAAGCCCCCCAGCCTGGGCCCCATCGGGCAGACCATTGTCCTTGTCTCTGCCCCCTCTGTCCCAATGTGGAGGTTGTAGTCTAGAGGAGGGTGAAGCTGTGGGCAGGGCTCACCCATCTTAAGGCTGAGAAGTGATGACAGTGAAAAAGCACCTGTTGTGGCTCGGCACCTGTGGCTCAAGTGGCTAAGGCGCCAGCCACATACACCTAAGGTGGCGGGTTCGAATCCAGCCCAGGCACGCCAAACAACAATGATGGCTGCAACCAAAAAAAATAGCCAGGCACTGTGGCGGGCGCCTGTGGTCCCAGCAACTTGGGAGGCGGAGGCAGAAGACTCGCTTGAGCCCAGGAGTTGGAGGTTGCTGTGAGCTATGCCACAGCACTCTACCCAGGGGGACAGCTTGAGGCTCTGTCTCAAAAAAAAAAAGAAAAGAAAAAGCACCTGTTGGCTGTTGGCTGTAGGAGGGGCAGAGCGCTCAGGACTGAGGGCCAGAAGCCTGAGAATGCCTCACAGATGACTGGGAAAAGGATTGTAAGTGTTTCTGGTCTCACTGTTAAAAGCGTGTACCATACATTTCCATAGCTCCCCTTGGAGAGATAAAATTCGCTTTCTGATACAGGACCTTTGTCCTAAATGGGCCGTTTCTGAGTGTTGCATCTGCCTTTCTGAAGCTTCCATTGGAATATATTCTCACATCCTCCCTGGTGCTGTCTTGACTGGACTGTCAGGGCCTGTGCACTCTGTGGTTACTTTACTCCATCTTCACCGCACCTGTGCACACCCTCATGTCACGTCACGCTCATACTCACACATACCCGCAACACGGATCCAGCACTGTTGTAAGGTTTAGGCTCTTCCCATTGTTCGTAGATGATGACAGCAAAAGATACACAGAATTGTGTGTGCCATACACTTGACATATATCATCTCTAAAGTGGTATCATGACCCCCAGATGGGCATTAATTCCAGAAGAGGAATCTGTAGTTGGTAGAGCTGAGACACAAATCCAGGCTTATAAAACCTAAATTCCATGAGTAAAACTGCTGTGCTGTAGTTCTCATATTTTGGGTTGTGGAATATGTATGTGTATGTATGTATACACACTGCAATAGCACAGGGACGCGTAGGTGCCTGGGGACGCAGGACGGATTTCTTTCCTACTCGCCTCATTTGCCTTTCTTTGGAAGACAGAATTAGACAAGCACGCTCCATTTGATGGGCACAGGAAGGCAGCCTGCAAACTTGTTTGGGACCCCAGGCTGACATGTCAGATGACCCATCTATCATAAATAACCCAGAAAGCAGATAATCCATGTCAGAGAACTGAGTTTATTGTACTGAATTTTCAACACTTTTGATATATATTTTTTATACGCTTCATGAAGTGACCAGCCTTGTTTTCAAATGATCTTACTATTACAAAGTTATTACTCCATGGGTTGTCAAGACCTGCTACCCATAAATGTTTCATTCTTTAGTTTCCAACCCTTTAGAGGAAATTCCTGCCGAGTATGTAAAGAGAGTTTTAGAGTTTGGGCCTTTCCTGTCTTGGTTTTATGCCCTTTAGTCTTTGTGCTTCAGGCTGGACTGTTTTTCTCTATTACCGTATTTTTTAAACCACTTTTTTGAAAAATGATGGACATACAAAAGCTGTCCATATTTGATGTACTCCATCACCATATCTGTAATGATGATTTTATTGAAAAGTATGACGGTGCAGTGACCAAAATACAGATGGGAAGCTGAGTTTAAAAAACACAGTAACTAAACTGCTCTGCTTTTTCAGGTTGGAGTTCAAGTTTTCACCAAAAGACCTCTGGACGAACAGCAGAATAGTTTTAAGCCAGATGACATTATCAATTGCCTTAAAAAATACCCTAAAGCTCTTGTTAAATATCTAGAACATCTCGTTATGGATAAGAGACTGCAGGTAAGCCCTTCAGAACTTAGACTAAAGTGTGTGGGGTGCAACAGCACAGGGGTAACTGAAAAGGGAATTTGATCATAATACTTCTTGGCACATGGTTCTAACTTAATGTTTTGTGTTACTGGGTATTCAGACTATACTTGGTGGTCTGGGTATCTTTTTTCTTTTTAACCTTGCATTTCATGTCTACTCAGGTAATTTTTTTTTTTTTTTGAGACTGAGTCTCACTATGTCGTCCTCAGTAGAGTGCTGTGACGTCACAGCTCACAGCAACCTCCAACTCTTGGGCTTAAGTGATTCTCTTGCCTCAGCCTCCCAAGTAGCTGGGACTACAGGCGCCCGCCACATATCCTGTCTATACTAAAAATAGAAAAATTAGCCGGGCATTGTGGTGGATGCCTATGGTCCCAGGTACTCAGGAGTCTGAGGCAGGAGAATCATTTAAGCCTAAGAATTTGAGGTTGCTGTGGGCCATGACACCATGGTACTCTACCGAGGGGAACAAAGTGAAACTCTGTCTCCAAAAAAAAAAAAAAAAAAGAATACCTAAATCCTGTGTCCCTTACATCTCAAAATGTATTTTTTATATTCCCGGGATGTTAAACTCGTCTTCTCTGTCTTGTGATTTCTGAGAAGTTTTTGATCCAGCCAGGAGCACCCACCCCGCTCACCTCCCATCTGGGCACCCTGGCTGGCGAATGAGAGCTCTGGGCTTCCCACTTGCAAACGCTGTCTATTTTCTCGGATCCCCCATTTCCTACAGAAAGAAGAGTATCACACACACTTGGCACTCCTCTACCTGGAAGAGGTGCTGCGGCAGAGGACCCCCGCCAGCAGCCAGGGTGCAGAAACCACTGAGACGCAGGCCAAACTGCGGCACCTACTGCAGAAGTCCGACTTGTACCGAGTCCACTTCCTGATAGGTGAGGAGGATTTCAATATTCTCTCCCTTTAGAAACTTCTCTCCAGGGAGTGGAGGGGATCAGAGAGAAAGGCTTTGGCATAACTCCTGGTTTTATTTCCATGGGGTGTTTCTTTTACCTTCTTTTGACAGTCAGGCTTCCTGGAGGGAGTGGTGGGCTTCTTGTGCTCCCACCCTCTGAAGGTGGATGGTGCCCTTTCAATGAGCTGCCCTAGTAGGTGTGGGATGTCTATGTGTCTCTTGACCATACCTCTTTTATTTATTTATTTATTTTTGAGGCAGAGTCTTGCTATGTCACCCTCCATAGAGTACCATGGCATCCCAGCTCGCAGCAACCTCCAACTCTTGGGGTTAAGCGATTCTCTTGCCTCAGCCTCCCAAGTAGCTGGGACTATAGGCGCCTACCACAATGCCTGGCCATTTTTTGGCTGCAGTTGTCATTGTTGTTTAGCAGGCCCAGACCAGGCTCTAACCCCCCAACCTCGGTGTATGTGGCTGGTGCCCTACTCACTGAGCTATGGGTACCACCCTCTTGACCATACCTTTGTTCAGACTTCTGTCCTCAGCTTCAAAGCACTGAGTCAAAATTTGTTCTGATGGCTTTACTAGCCTATCAGTGCTTCTTCAGCTGGCTGTGTCCCAGTGCCCACTCATGGACTGCTCAAGACTCAAGGCTTCTCAAACCCTAGGCTGGAGGAAGGTAGCGTAGGTATCTTAGGGGGGATCATTTCTGCAGTTCTTTGGGGTGCAGAGGCCATAGTTTCTGTACTGTGTGTGTAATGTGCCACTGAGCAGCACGATGCTCGCACCTGATTGAATCAACTCCCTTATTTCTTGCTGCATTTGATTTTACAGAATTTCTAGATTTGTACTTTCTGGGGTTAGTGACACATTTTTCTTATTATTCACAGTAATCATGCTCTAAAGTGTCCATAAATGCTGAATTACTGAACTGTTGTTACTAGTGGAAACATGGGTTACATTCCTGTAAACCTCAGGTCACAGCATTTTTATCATCTGATCAGTACATAAGCTTGTTTTATGGGTGTTTCTGCCATGGTCATCAGGCCTGAGGGCAGCCCCGTGTAGCCAAGCCCAAAATGAAATGCCTGTAACTGAGTATTAACCTTGGCTGAAAACTGCGAGTTGTCTTTGGAATACCCCTTTCCAGTAGGAGGAGAGCTGAGGATCTTCTTATCACTTCCTATTTTACAGATGGGGTGGGAAACAGGTGGCTGTCAGCGAGATACAGCCCTGGAAGGGCAGTGCTTTGGGCAGGACTGATGATTCTGTGGGTTATGTCATTTCCTTGTAACAGGAGAAATTGCAGGAGAAACAACAATAGCCAGAACAACTTTTTTTCCAACCTTTTGTCAAACAGATACGTATTTTGAGTAGTATAAGCCTGTATTTCTTTCAGTGAAATGCATACTTCAAATTGGAATAAAGAGGTTCAGCATGCCTCTTGGGGGGATGCTAGGGAATATAGTGTTCTTCTGCCTTGGTCAAAAGATATGCACAGTGTCGCAGACAACCTCATCTCAGTCATCTGGGTAGCAGTCTGTAGTCCGGGTGGCCGGGTTGGTTTGTCCTTTTTGAAACTCAGAGCAGTCGCGCTGGATGGGCACGTGGTGGACCCCACAGCCCCAGGCCCTGCCTATTTCTGATTGTGGGTTCCGTCCCCCAGAGAGGATTCAGGGTGCGGGCCTGCCCATGGAGCGTGCCATCCTCCACGGAAAGCTGGGCGAGGACGACAAGGCCCTGCACATCCTGGTGCACGAGCTGAAGGACTTCTCTGCGGCAGAGGACTACTGCCTGTGGTGCTCCGAGGGCCGCGACCCGCCCCGCCGCCAGCGCCTCTTCCACACACTGCTCGCCATTTACCTCCGCGCCGGGCCCTCCGCCCACGAGCTGACCGTGGCCGCCGTGGACCTGCTGAATCGCCACGCCACAGAATTCGATGCGGCCCAGGTGCTGCAGCTGCTGCCCGACACGTGGTCGGTGCAGCTTCTTTGTCCGTTCCTGACGGGGGCCGTAAGAAACAGCGTCCATGCCAGGAGGACCATGCAGGTAGCCGTGGGCCTGGCCAAGTCAGAAAACTTAATCTACACCTGCGACAAGGTGAGTGCCCGGCCCTTCGGGGTGAGCTAGCTTCTTGGCCAGTTGACGTTTTACTGAAGACAGATTTTACCTATCGGAAAACAATCTTTCTCGGTTTTTCTTTCTGTCTCTTTGACTTTAACAACTCAGTATTCAGTCTTACATAGAAGCTGAGTCTGTAGCAGCAGAGGCTGCTGGCAATGGAGGCTGGGCTGGCAGGTGTGGCATGAGTACACTTGTTCTTCCGTTTCGGCCACTGATGCAGACAGCAACCGCCAGCCCTTAGCCAGCACTTTCTGGCACGTTCCCATTTCGTCATCATTACAGTTTTATGCAGTATCTACTATGATCATCCCCAAGGCACAGGAGAGGAAACTGAGGCAGAGAGGAGTCACACAGTTAATAAATGGAAGAACTCAGAAGTGCCTCCCAGGCCAATTCAGAACCGCACACTCCTGGTCCTCCACTGTGCTCCCCCTCTGGAGAATTCTTTCTTGTGTGGCCTGTGTTCTATGTGGCTGGCAGAGCCTTCTTTGCAGAGCAGAATCCAATGTGTCACCTCCCACATCCAGGCAGTGGCTGCTCCTGGTGGCCAGTCCCACCTCCCGAGGCCCTTCCCTCCCCCGTGGCTCCGCTTCTCAGCACATGTCCTGGCTTTAGCTGCAAGAACTTCCCAGATGTGACCCGCGTTTCATGCAACTTCACTTCTGTGCATGCTGTTCCCACTGCCTGACATATTCTTACCTTTTGTTTTTGTGCCTGACAAAGGCCCACTCTGAATTTAGCCTAAGTATTTTTTTCCTCAGTGAAACCATCTCATGCCCCTAACAGATTGATCACCTTCTCTTTTGCCCATTTGTACACCTTCTGCATGCAATCACAATTGTCTTCCCTTACTATGAGACCTTTGGGTTCTTTGAGGGCCGGGAACTGCATTTATTTATTTCCATATCAATATTCCTAGGGCCAAGGTTGGCATGTTGAAGGTGTTCAATCAATGTTTGTTGAAAGACTGATGCAACTAACAAGTGCAGGATGAATTCACTGAGTTGCTGCTTGACCCTGTCAGTAGACGGGCTTGCCTGGGTTGACACAAGTGAATGGTGCAGAAAGACTTTATAACTTGTGAAACTCAAGTCCTGTTTATCAGACAGGGGCTGATGACATTACAGCTCAGTTCCATTTTTTAAAGAAATGGAATTGTGTTTCCCAGAACCAGTCTGGAATGTGCCACATTGACGGTTCAACTTGGACTGTGTCCCTTATTTGTACCTTACTTTCTTATTTGCAAATGAAGAAACTGGATAATTTATATGGTCCTATTCAGCACTAACATTCATGACTTGATAACAGGCCTCGATTGAAATGAGAGAGCTCAGAGAGTGTTAGAAAGAGGATCTTGTACAGAAATGCCTTGTTTAGGCAAGCATCAATTACTTTTGTAAAACAAGAAAAGCAGTTTTATAGTTCTTTTACTTCTCTAGTTAGTAAGAATAGTTTTATTTTCATCTTTTTTTATTTTTTTTTCCTTTGAAGAGACAGAGTCTGACTTTGTCACCCTCGGTAGAGTGCTGTGGCATCACAGCTCACAGCAACCTCCAACTCTTGGGCTTAGGTGATTCTCTTGCCTCAGCCTCCGGAGTAGCTGGGACTACAGGCGCCCACCAACCCCCTGGCTATATTTTCATCTTTTTTAATTTTTTTATTTTTTTATTTTATTTTATTTATTTATTTGAGACAGAGCCTCAAGCTGTCCCCCCGGGTAGAGTGCCATGGCACCACAGCTCACAGCAACCTCCAACTCCTGGGCCCAAGCGAGTCTCCTGCCTCCGCCTCCCAAGTAGCTGGGACCACAGGCGCCCGCCACAACGC